ATGTTTTTGAGTGCTTGAACAATGAGTGTAGAATCATATAGCTATTGAATGAACCCAATGGTTTTATGCTGCCACGCAATTTAATAAATTAAAATTGGTTGGCCTTTTGTCTAAGTCCAAATTATTTAAATTCAAATAACATATGTCCAAATATGATAACACAAATTAAGCTCCAATAAGTTCAAAGTCACAATTCAGATACAAATTTTTAAATTTTACATAATGTCATGTTGGAATTATATTAAGTTTTGTTTTGTGTTTCCTCTTATAACAGTGAAATTAAGCTTAGATTACAGCTAAAATAGGTTATAATAATAAGTTAAGTTTAAATAAGAGAAAAGCAGGTGATACGTTACGCTATGTCGAGCATAGAGTTACATTTCCATATAGTGTAAATTTTTTTTAAAAAAAAATGTGAGCAGTGTACCTATATTATTATACAATCAAATACACCTCATTTGTTACATTATAGTTTCACTGTCTTATTTTTACTTTTTCATAATCATATGATCTACTTCCTTTCATGAGTTGTTAAAATCCCAATCCAGATCTTACGATCCTACGATTCTACGATCCAAAATTGTTTGATCAACCCAAATCTTTGGTAGGATCTTACGAACCTACTCTGATATTAATTATGAGTGGTAGGATCTGAACACGATCCTACGATCCGATCCAACATTTCACTACAATATGAGACTTTAATTTATTTTGACATATTTTTTTTATTACTCATTAGGTTATATGCATCTTAATTTAATGTATTCAATAATTATCGCTAATAAATTAGCGAATCCGAGACATTAATATGATTTTATCAATTGACAACTTGCAATTGTCATAGTTAAGGTCTCATTCTTGACAAATTTGCACATAATTTATTAATTTAAACTTGTGTTATTAATCTTCTAACTACCATACAGACAAAACTAAATGAAGATCGACCTTTCTTAAGAAAACCAATGTCTTTTAGCATTGAAACCCTTAGAAGAAATGTTTTTAAGTCAATTTATAGCATAATATATAATATTATTTATTTTTAAGTAGGATCTTACGATCCTACGATCCAATTCTATCGATTCGATCCCACCAACCTCCCCCCATCGATCTGGATCCTGATCCTAGCAACCTTGCTTCCTTTAATTCTAAATGTTGTTTTTGTTCAAACCGTGAACGCTTTCCAAAAAACGTCAAAATAAAAGAGAATAGTGAATACACACTTACCAGATAAATATAACAATATCTCACATATCTACGTTCCTCCAATTACAATGGAGATAATTCATGGTCAACATGGGTGAGGTTAAAAAGGGATGAGCTATAACTTTCACCTTCAATGCTTAAATGGTGAAAGTAATTGCAATGTTTTGTATACACGTGAAAATCGATAGGTTACGTGCATGATAGGTGGTGGAAATTAATTCAAAGCAACAAACAATGTTTCTCCAAAAAAAAGCATACATGTAAGCTGATTGTTGAATACTTGGATTGCTCTCACGCGCATATCGTGAAACACCCCATGACAAGTAGGACAATTGAAATCAAAGGGTACAAATTACAATAAATGCTTGTTGCATATTAATGAACTAACAAAAAACAAAATAGAGGTGGTGATGGTGGTCATTTAGATCTTTGGTGGTGATAAATTTGGTCTCAACTACTATGGTTACGATTAATTTTTGTAGATGATTTTTACCATATAATGTACCAAAACAATAGGTAGTATAAAATTTGACTAACTAGTAATATGTATGAACGCTCGTTTTACATGAATTCATAATTAAATTTAAGCTTAAAAGCTCTGATGTGTTTGGATGCATAGTAATATTAGGTGTTGCTTTTAGAATGTTCTAAAGTATAAGTTGTAAGTCTTAGAATGAGGCGTTGATGTTTATAATATACGTATAGGAAATTAATTTGAAACAAAGAGTTTTAATGATTACTAGCCAATTAATTAGATAGTTTAGAGAATTAGGTGAAAAGTTAATTAGTATGCTGAACAAGTGTTTGGTTAGATAATTTCACATAAAAATATATCACGACCTATCACGAATAAATTCTTTTTGTAAATATTGTACAATGTACAAGTATTTATTCATCATCTTCATATGGAAAAATTATTCTCTTAGCCGAATTTTTTTGGTGTCTATAACACAATTTTATTAGTTACCATTAAAAAAAATGGGCTTAGACAAACTTACTAAAATAGCATCAATCTTGGTGATCTAGTATACAAACTATTATACTCACACGTCATGAGAAATTGAGTGTGTTCGAGGAACTTACAGACATTGCATCAATCTTGGTGATCTATTGTAATCTACTTTTTAATATTGTCAAAAACATTGTTATATACGAAGAAACGAAAATTAAAAGTACACAACTTTGCATAATTCGTATGATGAACAACACATCAAATTCCATTATGTAAAAAGTAGTGTATTTGTTCAAAGTTATATAAGGTGTAATCTATACACGAAATGAACAAGTTCTATTAATCCACCCATCTTTGATCTTTTTAATCATAGTGATTGAACAAATGGTTATATACGCACACTTATCTTGTTGATTGACAAACCAAGGTTCTTGGTCGTCCACTCTCAAGGCTCAACCTAGACCTGGCAATCGTGTCGTGTCGTGTTCGTTTTTGTGTCGAAAATTAAACGAATTGGAGAAGGTCAACACTAACCCGACCCATTTAATAAACGTGTTGTGTCTTGTTGACCCAATTAATTAATCGTGTCGAAAACCCTTAACACTAACCCGCTTTTTTCGTGTTCGGTTCGTGTCTTGTTGAATTGAAAAATATTGGTCTTGTTCAATAGATTTATCAGTAATTCCATAAATTATTGGGTTTTTATATTAGGCGAGTTGAGTCGTGTTAATTTCGTGTTGAGAATTTCAACACTAACCTAGCTTGTTTAATTAAACGTGTCGTGTTGCGTTGACCTATTTAATTAAACGTGTAGAAAACCCTTGACACTAACCCGTTTTTTTCGTGTACGGTTCATATCGTGTTGTGTCAGTTTTTGTCAGCTTTAGCTCAACCTATGAAAGTCTACCTACAACATAAAGAGGTATCATCAATATTACTCCTTGACCACCTAATGATAACAATACCTTGCACCTTTAATTAGGAGGTGAAGGTGTTACCATCAATTCGTACATTATCATTTAGTGAAAATGTAGAATCATACATTGTACTTAAATCAGTTGTGATTCTTTTGCCTTATTTTTGTGCCTCTTCAATCCATGAAATTGCATGAAGAAACTATATCTAATCTTTTAAAAGTTATAGTTATACTTACAACGACACCATGCCAGATATTCTCATTCACAAGAAATATAAAATTCACACCAGAATACTTATAAAAACAAAAAATTATCGAAATAACACAACAATACTGAGGGATTCTAATGGAGTCATATGACTTTTGACTACCGCAATTTTTTAAAACGGACAGTTGAGATTATTTGTTTTTCAATTTATTTTTATTTAGTAATTTTAATTAAAAATTATTTTAAATATTTATATTTTTACTTTCTAGAAATTATTTTTAAATATTTCGGTTAGTGAATTGCGGAAGCACTTTGATGCCGTCATTAATCAAAGAAGAAAAATGTTATTTTGGGTACATTTGATCTTGGAAAGCAAGATTGTTATTATATTTTGTTTACTTAAATTTGCCATTTTGAAGATCGTTACGATATTTTGCTTTCTCCCTCATTGTCCATTTTGCGGGGTAATGGTGTGTTCTTTTTTCTTTTTTTTTTTTTTTTTTTTTTTAATCATGGTTATCGTGCAGGTCATGCATTGGTAAGGCACTTTTATACTTGTTTGCAATCTGCTACATAGCGCTTTTGACGTAAAACTGTTCTTTATGTTAGTTGTGAGTGAAATTTTGGTTTTAATTTACAACCTGATGCTAGTTTGCCATTGTTGTGGTATACAGTTAGAAGAAAAAATAATTTCTAAAAATTAAAAATATAAGTATTTAAAATAATTAAAAAAAAATGATTTTTAATCAAAATTACTAATTAAAAATAAATCAAAAAACAAATAATCTCAGCCGTCGATTTAAAAAAATTGTGGTAGTCAAAAGTCATATGTTTACATTAGAATACTTGCTAATGAAACATTCTTAGCACGCAATAACTCTCAAGTCCTAACCTTAGAGTTCTTGATCTATATATATGCATATATTTGTCATTTTGATCTATGTTGCCCAACTTCAAACCATTTTAAATTCTTGATCACCCATTATTCTCTAATTAATAAAATGGTCTTAAACAACGTATTTAAGATCCATCAACAACATTTCAAACTTTACTTTTAGAATTCAATGAATTCAATCAATATAGAGTATAGATAAACGATCACAAATTCTTATATGTGGTCAACTGCACCATTAGTTGATGGTGTGATCACTTCACATATAAGACAATCAATTAAGTAATAGCCAATGGGGGCTAAGATTACGTTCAAATCACATGAAGAATTATTTCAATATATGAATAGGGTTACTCTTATTAACAAATGGAACTATTATTTCAACATTCAAAATTAAAGAATTGAGGTTACTTAAACAAATGGAGTTATTATTTTATAATATTAAAAATTAAAGATGTTATTTAAATGAGCAAATATAAAGTAATTCAAAAGTGGCCGCACAAAACCAGTTGATACTGGTTAATACGGACTGTAGACATGTCAATTCGCGACTTGACCCGATTCCAAACCCGAGTTACTGAGAGAGAACTCGAACTCGAACCAACCCAAACGACCCGAAATTGACCCAATTATCATATTTTGTAATGCCCAAACGATCCAAACCAATCAAACCAAACGACCCGAAATTTAAACCGAACCCGACCCACTGACCCGAATTGACAGGTCTAGGGCGTTCTTATTGAGCCGCGAATGCGTCCAAAAAACCAACCCCATCTCATCTCTATGCATCTCCCATAGAAACCTTGATATAGAGATTAGAGAGTGGGTTCATATTCCAAGTTCCATCTGCCGGTCATCACTATCTACACAATTATATCAATAGGCCCACACCTTCTTCATACATTCACAAACTGTTCTAGTCAAATTTTCTTTGACCCTCCCTCCCAAAACCACCCTTCTGCTTCTCTCGCAACTCCTCCGCCATTTTTCGATTCTCTCTCATCCGATTTCCAGGTTTACATCAACGCTATAATTCTTTGTCTCTTTACCTTAATTTTGCATAATTCTTGTATTTTTTTTTTTCTGCAAATTGTGTTGGATTTTATGGGGGTTTATTGAATTTTCCCTTGTTGTTTTGGTGTTTTGCTTTCTGGGTTTTTAAAAAATTTCGATTTTCCCTTTGTTCTTTTTATTTTAGGTCGTTATCTTTAACTGGGTATTTTTTACTTGCTTCGATTATTCGTTCTTTATCATACAATTCTTTGGTAGTTAAATGATCTTATAGTATTTTTTAAGAATTTTGTGATATGAATGTTAATGGGGTTGAGGAATTTCGACCTTAAATGTAATTTATGGATCATAAAGCACTAGACATGGGGATTGTTTTCCTAAACTAGTGTTTTTGTATTAAATGGGTAGAGGTGTGGTTATGTAGTATGGGAATGTGTTTTCTTGCTAGAATTTTGCTCACATTTGCGCTGGAATGTTGAATGTTATAAGTTTTTTGATAGTTTAGATGCAATGTTTCAAGACCAATGTAACTTCATTGATATATGGTTGTTTGGGTTGCGCGTTGTTGAAATTCTAAGAGGTACAGTTGTGGACTATTTGAACATTTGAGACTACTTGCAAAGTTGCAGTAGGATTCATGTTGGGTTGTTGTGATTGTTGTTGTTGTTGTTGCTGCTGTCTTTCTTGTCTATGTCACGTATCAATGTATTATTCGATTCAAGTGATTGAGAGCTGGGTTGTGGACATACTAAGATCTTGAGACCTTGCTTGCAATGGGATTCATGTTGGGTTGTTGTGATTTCTGTTTCTTAACTTGTCTATATTAAGCTACTTTATTTCTTTGAAATATTCAAGTTATCGGGTTTAGAGTTGTTGACATTTTAAACTGTCGAGAGTCTTGAGACCATCTGCGCAATAAGATTCTGATGTTTTAAATCATGTGGTTGTTTCAACATGGTTGCTCTTTTGTTGTAGTCTATCTATCTCTGATCTCTGGGTTATTATACATCAGTTTCTTTCCTTTATGGCATCATAGATCTTACCGTGCGGGAAAAGGCATCTGGAAACCAGTTTTTTCTCACTGACCAATAAGCTGAAGGAGGAGATATTGCTGCTAGGCTGGGAATGCTTCCTGTATGACATAAAATTTCACAGTGTCAGGTTTGCTGAATGTATGCATAAAATAAAATTTATTGTTCCACATTGTGCTGTGCTTAAAAAAAAATTTGGATATGGTGACTTGCCTCTTAAATTTTATGTAGATAAGTCTTTAATTTTTCTTTGCACTGGAATTGCTTAGTTTGATTGTAGGCCCTGGGGACCTGGCATCATAGGTGCTGAGCTATAAGAAATTTAAAATATTTAATTAAGAGAAAGGGAGATCAATGATGCAAGAGTAACTAGATAATGGGGTCGCATGCATTTTGTATTTCCTTTTTTGTACAAGAATGGCCTCTCATGATTTGCTTAATTTCATGTAGATTATGTTTATCATAAGATAGATATACTCGTCCTTACTCTTTAGTAGGTTTGTTTTAAGATGTCTATTTCCAGCATGAAATTCGAGTTTGTGATTGAGTGGAGCTTTCTCTCTTGAATCCCTTTCTATGGCGATAAATCCCTGTAGACTGTGTCCAACCCCACTCTGTTGGGCAAGGCAGTTTGTTATTTGGGTGATTGGTATTGATGCATATCCTGGTGAGCTTCTTCCTGACTTACGGGGGTGTTGAAATGTAGCATTGTTTTATTTGCAGTCATCTATGAACGGATCACCTTCAAACATTCCAGATATCACTGGAAGATCATTTCCTTCACCTTATTCTGTCCAGTCTGGTGCCGGCTCCCCGGGTTTTCATCACACTGGTAAATAAAGTTTTCGAGCTTCATGCTTTTGAGTTTCTTTCCAGTTCATGCCTTCATGCGTTCAATTGGATTGGTTTCTCATGCAGGAACACTTCAAGGGCTTCACAACATGCATGGTAGCTACAATGTTCCCAACATGGCTGGTACGCTTCCATCAAGAAATCAAACAATAAATGTACCTCCAGGCAGTATGCAACAATCTACTGGAAACCTCCTTACTGGACGGTTTGGGTCTAATAATCTACCTATTGGTCTTTCTCAGGTATTCTTATATTTCCTTTAAAGCTGAACCATAAAAGATTGCTTAAACTTAGAAGTGAGAATGCTTGAAATGTAATGGTCACTACTCATGCAGATTCCTCATGGTAGCTCACATGGCCATTCTGGAGTTACGAATAGAGGAGGTATGAATGTTATCGGAAGCCCTGTGTATAACAATAGCACAAATGCTGTTGGTGGTTCGATTCCTGGGGTACTCCCAACATCTGCATCCATTGGTAACCGTGGTGGTGTTCCAGGCATTGGGGTATCACCTTTTCTGGGAAATGCAGGTTCTCAAATCACAACTTCAATGGGAAATGTGGCTGGCTCTGGATCTGGCTACATTGGTAGGAGTTCTGGTGGGACTTTATCTATGCCTGGTCTTGCATCTCGTCTAAATTTGAGTTCCAATAGCGGCTCTGGAAGTTTAGGTTTACAAGGATCAAATAGATTAATGAATAGTGGACTTCAACAACAAGGTAATATTTAAAGTTCTGATTTTTATGAAGAAAGCATTCACAACACTGGCAGTTGATATTTAGTCAAGCACACCTTTTGCTTTAGTCTTCTTGGTCACATTCTGTCATGTATCCCTAGTATCATTGGAATATAGGTTACTTTGGTGACAGTGACATCTCTTGAAAAAGGGTTCTCAGTTCTATTAGTTAACAAGTTTTTGTCCTTACTAATGATATTATTGTAAAATTGCTTATGACAATGTGCTTCACCATTAGATCTACTTTTTGATCATAGAGGCAAACTATAGTACCTTTTGAAACGATTAAACAAATATTTGCATGGTTCTTAGAGGCTCGAGGAAAGTTTTGAACCACTGAGATAATTCAAATACCTTTTGAACTAATGACAAAATGAGGGCATTGATCTTGCCAATGTATTAATGATCTTTGTGTTATCACAAAAGCAAACACATTGATGAGCTCTGTTGGCTGTATACGTTTATAATATAAACAAGAATGTCTGGTATAGATGTTATAGTCCTTATAGATGGCCTCTAGCTGACACTTGTTGAATCTGGTGAGTTATTATATACTCTATTCATTGACATTGGTTTTGTGATGGAATCTCATCTGAGCCTCAATTATTTTGGGTCCAAAACTCCAATGTAGTATAAGATCAACACGAACTTATCCAAGCCCTAATCTTTTTCCTTTTGTTAGGGGATCATAGTTAATGGATCTACATTAAGTGCTGTGTATATTTGTCATTGGTATTAAAATAGTCATATCTGCTTTCAGCATCACCACATGTAATGTCCATTCTTGGAAACTCCTATGGTTCTGGTGGAGGTCCTTTATCTCAAAATCACGCCCAAGCTGTTAATAATTTGAGCTCAATGGGAATGCTGAATGAAGTGAACAACAGTAATAACTCACCTTTTGGTGTGGAAGATTTTCCTCTGCTAACTAGTCGACCTAATTCTGCTGGAGGGGCTCATGGACAAATCGGTAATCTGAGAATCTTGAAAGTTATTTCTGGCTCTTGCTTGGTATTTGGCTTGACTTGCAAGAAATAATTACAGGCTCGATTAGAAAACAAGGTATTGGTGGTCCGGCAAGTCAACAGAACCATGAATTTAGCATCCAGAATGAAGATTTTCCTGCTTTACCCGGACAAAAAGGTTAGTATTTTTTTTTTTTTTTTTTTTTATATTTTTTATTTGTGCTGAAGGTACTGAAAAGGTTGTATACTTTGTCCGTTTCTTTTCCTTGTCCGCTTAAGAAATGTTCTTTAGCATCTTTGTCATTTTAAAGAGTTGACATAGCCTAGAGCTGGAGAATGCAATTAGTAGTCTTGGACTTGTTTCTTTTAATGTCAGTTTTGGCCAAAAAGTTAATTTGTGGTATTGTGTTTTGAAGCAAACAATATGTCGAACTATAGAAGTTAAAAATCATCTTTTGGTGTAAATTTTTAGTTCCTTGTTGAATAATGTCACTGCCACCGCACCCGGTCCTCCAACATCAAATAAGGCATGATTCAACTTGTTGCAATATTTTACTTGTAGTTATTGGGTTTTCATGACTTTTAAGCATAATTTTTGTAACTGTTAAAATTATTTCTATTTTGTGACCATTAAAAAAAAAATTATCTTATGGAGTTGTATGTTTTGGTATGCTGTGGAGCTTATGAAGATTTTTTTCGGAGCTCACTTGGTCAGTGAATAGGATCCACTCGGGTTGTGTTGTGATTTAGTTTGGGGAAGAGTTTTCAAATTTGAGGAGATAACTTGAATAATTTTGCTTTTCACTTCTGCAAGTTGATGCTAATGAGTATAATGAACTGTTTTTGGGCAGAAAATTTAAGGAAGAAGAAGATGAATATTTGCATTAAAAGCTGAAAATTGCCGAAAAAGGAAATTTAACCTTTTGAGAGGTTTAATTCTCTTCCAAATACAACTAAGCTTAATAAAGCACTCATTAGTTTTCTTCATGTTTCTCTCCCTGGTAACCCCTTGGTTTCTCTATGCTCCACCATTATTGCCCTTCAAGATTACCTGATGCCATAAAATGAGTTCCCTGGAAGCTAAGCTTTTCCTCAAAAAAAAAAGAAAGAAAAAAAAAGAGCTTGTTTATAGGCTATCAGAAACTGTGTTTGTGCTGGCAACTGTTGTCTGTAATCCAATATTATTATTATTATTATCTCTTTTATGTACATCTTATTACGGTTAATACTCTTTTCAGGGGAAATTCTGAGTATGGCATGGACTTTCATCAAAAAGATCTACTTCGTGATAGCAGTGTGTCTATGATGCAAAATCAGCATTTCTCAGTATGTATCTTGTGAATGATTTAATGGCTCTCTTTTTTGCCTAATAAGTTTTCTTGCACTCATAAGGTGTAATATCCAGATGGGAAGATCTTCCGGGTTCACCGTGGGTGGTTCATACTCATCACCTCGCCCACAGCAACATCAACAACATATGCCGTCAGTCAGTGGTGGCAGCGACTCTTTTGTGCCTGTAAATAATCAGGGCCTTCAGCATTTGCACGGATCAGATATGTTTTCATCTTCAAATTCAACATATCATATACAGGTTTGCTTGTTGGTTGCATTAAAGAATTCGTTGCTGCATTGCTTGACTAGTTTTCACCCTAGAATCTGTATCTTGCTCACAAAGTAGTCAGATACTAAATTATTTCCTTACTGTTCTTATTGTTTCATCTTGTACCTAATTATGAAAGTGTCTTTGAAGGTACTTGAAGGCACTTACTTAGATTTCATAAGTTTATTCAGATTGCAGATTTAATGTTTTTAAGATTTGTATTCCCTCAAATGTTTTCCCTTAGTTTTTCCACATTGACTTCTGTACTACTTACAGTTCTCACTTTAACCATACTTTCTTACTAATACAAATGTTGTTATGTGATTTGTCTCAAATGTCAATGTATAATTTTTATATGTCAACTTTTTATAATTTTTACTTGGAGATATTAGATATATTGATAGTCAAAGTTATGCGAGACGAGAAAATCGATATGGAAAATTATTAATAATATAATGGAGGGAGCATTTATCTTCTTTGATCGAGACACTCATATTGTTAATTTTAAGTGAAATTTTTCCCTGGAAAAAAAAATTTAAGTGAAATTTAATGAGGTAGATAACATATTGCCAATAGTGGTTATGGTTACAGATTTATAGGTTGGTACCATAAGAACAGTAGAATAGTAGATTAGATAGTCAATGATTTGAAGCAAAACGTGGGATGCTATGGTTGATTCTCCTAGTAGTAGCATGGAAAATAAGTCTTGATGATTTCTTTTTTAAAACAATGGGCGTGTTTGTTTTAGAGGAGTGCTTTCTTTGATGGGTACAAAGGGTGTAGGAGAAACTTGTATAAATGTTATACGAAGTATTAGTTTTTTTTTTTTGTGTTTTTTTTATTTTTTATTTTTTTTTAAAGGAAAAGATCTAGTGGGAAAAGAATTTACTCAATGATTTTGCAGATGAGTTTTTCCACCCAATTTGACAATGTGACAAGTGTGCTTTGTCTCAATATTTCTATCAGGGCAACGCGCCTTCAGATAATGGCATGAGATCTATGAACAACTTAACTGCAATGTCCGGTGTGCCTTCATATGACCAAAAAATGCAGCATTATCAACAGCAAAGCCCATCCCAGTTTCATCTACGGCAGATGTCAACGACAGACACGACGTTTCGAGATCAGGGAATCAAGTCTAATCTGGCTACACAAGCTGCGGCTGATAAATATGGATTGCTGGGTTTGTTGAAAGTCGTAAGGATGACTGATCTTGATCTGTCGTCCCTTGCTCTGGGAATGGACCTGACAACGCTGGGTTTGAATCTGAACTCTTCTGAAGACCTTCACAAAACGTTTGGCTCCCCTTGGTCTGACAAAGCTGTAAAGGGAGATCCAGAGTTCGTGACACCTGATTGTTATAATGTGGAATCCACTCCATCCCTAAATGTGAGCTGCTATTTGAGATGGGCTATTCTTGTTTACTGATAAATTAATCTGATTCAAGATCTGATAAATATATATTATTTTTTTAAAAAAAAAAAAAAATTGATTTCCCTTTTATTTATTTATTTTTTGTTGTATATGTAGTTTTGTTGTATATGTGGTTTTAATTTTTTAATCTACGATTACGTAATTCCTGCTACTTCTCATGTCACTTATTGTGAGTTTTTTATTTGGTGCAGCATCTCTACTTCGTGAAGTTTCAGATGGAGACTTTGTTCTACATCTTTTACAGGTGGAGCTGTCTTATATTTGTCATGTCTTTGTTATGATTTTACATCTTGAACTCATTGCTCCTTGGTGCCTTTTTGCTTCTTTTGTTTTTTCTCCCATTTTTTACACAGCATGCCGAAGGATGAAGCACAGTTATATGCAGCGAATGAACTGTAAGCTCTTTGACCGAATGATTGATCTTGTGTCACATCATTTAATCTTTAGCCCTTCCATGTTTTAAGCTATTTATCCTTTTCAAATTTTCATCCAACTCCCGAGTTACTACCATAAGATGTTTCCTGAATTTCTGATTTTGCTGAAAGGTAATTCAACTTGTGTTTGCAGTTGCAGAAGAGGATGGTTCTATCATAAAGAGCTCCGGATGTGGTTATCAAGGTTTTCCAATGTGGAGCCTCTTGTCAAGACACCTACATACGAGAGAGGGTCTTACCTCTCCTTCGATCCAAGTACATGGGAAACAAAGAAAAAGGTACCGTCTTATAATCACAATCCATTTTTGGTTATAACGATGAATATTAATGTGTTTTCTTGCAATTTACAGGACAACTTTGTTCTTCAGTATGACTTAATTGAGAAAAGACCTACCCTTCACCAACATTAGTTATACTAGTTGAATGTAAATTATCCTGACTATTAGCACAATTGTTAGAAGATGAGATAGTTTTACTGTTACAAGTCTTGTATTCAACAATTAAAAGTATTTTAAAACTGATCATGTTTCAGCTATAGTTCAGTTTGGCCTCAACAAATAGTCTTGTATCAGATTGTAATTGAATCCCAAAGTTGTTATAAAAAAAAGGGATATTCTCAGCAGTAACCCCCAACTTCTGCTACGCACCAACGGTAACCCCCTTTTTTTGGATTATACAAAATGACCCTAATTAAGAAATTTATCTCACATATGACATTAATGAGTGTTATTTATTTTAAAAAAAAAACTAACTATGGTTAACTTTGAAAAAAATAAATAATAAATATTAAAAAAAAAAAAAATAACCAGCCCACCCCAACTTCAACCCTCCAGCATCCCTCCCCGGAGCGCTGGCTGACCCAGCCTCCTCCCCTGCGCCGCCGATCTATCCTCCTCCCACGCACCGGCCGACCCTGATAGCCGTAATATGCAGTGTATGGGTACTCATCTTCAGTTGTTATGCCTTGGTTTTGTTGGATGAATGTGTAAGCTTTCGAGACATCACCACCACGACAACCGTCTTCTTGAACACAATCGATGAGTTCTTCCTCTGATAGTGAGATTAATTGTCCAAATTTTATTCTATTTAGTCCTACTGCTGCAACCGCCGAAAATGCCCAGCAACCCTCTGTAATTTTTAAGCATAATGACTAAATCAAAAATCAATTTTAAGAAAATGCATATATAAAGTAACTTATAGTTTAATTTCATACCACATTGGCCTTGGTACTTTATCCCTGTAACAGCTCCTTGTTCTCTCCAATCCATTGAAGGCGAGATGTCATAATCGGTAAGGTCTTCATACCTAAACTCCGTTGTCATCGAGCCATTGGATATAAAATGAAATTGCCTACTACGGCTATCAGGATTTTTCGGGTTAAGGGTTTAGCCGACGGTGGATGGTTGCGGCGGGGTTAAGGAGGAAAGGGAGGGGGGCTGGGTTGGACGGAGTAGGGGAGGGGGCTGGCCGGAACGGTGGAAAGTGAGGGGAAGGAGGAGAGGTTGGCCGGAATCAACGGGGATTGGGGGTTGGGATTAATTTTTTTAATTTTTCTTTTTTTTAAAAAAATATAAATATAACCATAGTTAATATTTAATGAAATAAGGTTATGAGTGGGATGAAATTTTTAACTAAGGTCATTTTGTATAATCCAAAAAAAAAAGGTTACCATTGGTGCGAAGTAGAAGTTGGGGGTTACCATTGAGAATATCCCTAAAAAAAATTCTTAGTACTCATGTTATCCTCAGTTTTCAGAGAAGTATGCGTAGAAATGCAGATCTGTCCTGTTATTAGAAGTGTTGTCACATACTCGTTGTTTGTCGAACATCAGTTATTACTTGTGATTGGTTGCATTGTGTATTAACTGTTTTGAATCTTTCTCTCCATCCTTATGTTAAGTATCCCTCTTAAAACTCGGGGGTGCGTAGAATAAACTCGGGGATGGAAATTGTGATTTCAACCCAATGTTTATGTTCTTACTCTTGCACCAAACTAAATAATAGAAATTCAAGAAAACACTTCTATAAGTAAATATTTTCCACCTTAAGCAAACGGAGCCTAAATGCCAAGACTCGAGGAGAAAGAGGGTGACCCTCATGTTTGCACCATGGGTTGCTTTTACAATTGCAAATTACCTCAACTTTACTATTGATACGACGTAATTGCCACTCATTCAAGTTTTTGTGTCTCGCCTTATGCTACATGTAATCGCCTATAAAATTTAGTAAATGGAAAAAAAGCTTCCATTTACTTATTTTCTCATGGTAAAAATATTTAATCTACAAACGAATTTGGAATCTAACAAATGCATACATGACTCTGATAAGATATTTTTAAAGATAAGTATGATCACATTGAGTTGTATTGTTTATTTGATTCCACCTTATGACGCTATGATGTACAAACAATTTCAATGAGGCACTCTATCAGTCTATTATACCACAATTGTGACATATATATGTATTGACATTTTTTTTTTCAATCACACATAAATCTTCATTAAAGAATCAATTTTTTACTATACACATTTTTCTTATGAATAGTGTTTGGACAAATGTTTGTTTACTTATTTGCCCTCATTAATGTAAATTGTCTTTTTTTTAAAACACATAAGAATAGTATGAGGACATTTATACCTCTAAAAATATTTGTATATATATTTTCCCTCATTAATGTTGCTAACAAATAAGTTTGTGACATACGAAAAGATCAAATCGAAATAGCTCAACGGACATGGCTAGCTATGGCGCACGCGCATTAGCCGCCCTAATTTATAATTTAAATAAGACATTCACTACGTTTTAACATGTAATTTATTGATATTAATAACAAAAATGAATCAAAGATAAAGGGGTTGGAGTTTTAAAAACCTAATTTTCGATAAGTCTTATGGTAAATAGGTTCAAGTTACTCCAAATCGTTATCCAAAATTTTATTCTGCGATTTACCATTTTTTATATCTCGTTTATTACATATTAAATTGTCATAAAAAATAATACATGATGGTTTTTTTTTCAATTTATTTAATTTCAAATTTTACTAAATTTTGACTTTATTTGTACACTAGTTTTGTGTCCGTGCGATGGCCAGATTGATTATTAAATTTTAAGATAATTTTTTTATTTATATGCTAAATTTTAAACATATCATTAATATAAACAATTATATATACAGATAATTTATACGCGTCAATCTAATGGTTAGTTGTTACCTACGTGGCACGACACTTATCAAAATTACGAATGCCATATCTCGTGCCCTAGCTAATCGTATCGCTTAAGTTTTGTTATATTGCGTGACTTGATTAATCGTACAACTTTATATATTTAATAGTGACTAAATAATATTTTATGTCAATTTATAAAATATATAATAAATAGATCTATTTTGAAGTACTATTTAACTCAAATTTTATGATATATAAAACATAAATTTATAAGATAATTATTCAGAGTTATAGTCCAATTTTATTTTTGAATAAAATTATAATGTAATTTGTACATAGAAAATATTGGTATTTTATCGAAAATAAACCTGTAAACCAATAATTTTACTCTAAAATACTAATTTTATTGAAAATAAAATTCTAAACTAACTTTTTTATCCAACCGAATCTATTTAAGTCTATCCAACTAAATACGTTATATTCAAATAAATCCTACGTGTCAAAATAATTATCTTTATATGTCGCCTATGTGACACGACACTTGAGGAAAAGTTGAAACGTCAAGTGTCGCTGTCTCGTAGCCTGACTAATAGTTTAGCTTTATATATGATTACTACTTTACTAGTTTTGTGCCCGGGCCCATATTGTTGATAAAATCTTAGAATAAACTTTTTGGATTGAATGTTAAATGCAGTTATATAATCCCTTTTGATTTTGCAGGATATTTAGATGTACGATATTATATCGCTTATTTATATGATAGTGTATTTTTTGTAATTTTGTTTGTAAAGTAAATATCTATGTTATTTTTGACTTGAAATTATTTTTACTGAACTTAAATTATTTTTATTGATTTAAAAGTATTTTTGCCAAACTAAAATTATTTTTTATTATTAAAACTTATTTTTACTAATTATCTATTATTTTTTATATTAATTTAATATACTCGTATTATAAATGGATCTTATTTTACAGAACTTTTTAAAACGAATTTTATGATCGAATTAGAACCGAGTTATACGATATTTATTAAAAGTTATGATTTATTTTGTATATATGAAATAGTAGAAGTATATCGATAATAAAACACTATACAACATTTTTATCTTAGAAAATCTATCCAAAATTCGCTTACTTAGCATCATATGTGTCACAATAATATCTATTTGTCGCCTATGTGGCGCGACACTTGACGAAAAACTGGAATGCCAAGTGTCGTTGTCTCGTGATGGCCTGGTTGCGAGACAGACTTTAGTGCCTGGGCGATGCCTATTTGGTAGATAAGATTTAGGAAAAAAAATTGGAGTGAATGTTAAATACGGTCATATAATCCCTTTTGATAATTTATATAGTAGTGTACTTTTTGTGGTTTTGTTTGTAAATAGATATCTATGTTATTATTGACTTGAAATTATTTTTATTGAACTTAAATTATTTTTACTAAACTGAAAGCATTTTTAGCAAACTAAAATTATTTTTACTGACTTATTTTTACATATTCTCTATTTTTTTTGAATAAATATATTATATTTAAGTTGTTATTAACTTGAAATTATTTTTATTGAACTTAAATTACTTTTACAGAAATGGAAGTTGTTTCGGGGTTTTCTGATGTCCTGCGGGAGAGTTACAACACCGAGACTGGAACCGGCCGCCTGTACCTGCAAAATAACGGAGACTCCTGGGAGCTCCGCCTCCAACGGTCAAGTTAGTACTTGTTTGAGGAGTAATAAGTGCGGAAATTAAAGGGGGAAGATCTGGTTCCTCTAGGGGAGGAGTGATCAGTGTGTTCAGACTTCTCTAGGTGAGAGTAATTAATTGCTCTTTTTCTTTAATGAGGATTAATTAAGTATTTATAGTCTTGAGAAGCGTGCCACTCTCTAGGTTTAAGGTAAACCTAGGGCTGACTGGGCCTCTAAACAGGATTGGGCCTTGTTGGCCGGTTTTCCCATTTGGCATGGGTGGACACGTGGCGTGTCTCGATTGGTCCGTAGAGGACGTATATGTGATTGACACGTGGCAGGCTCCTATTGGCCTACGTGAAGGACACGTGGCGGAACCCGATTGGTCCACTTGTCAGACGGTGATTGGTGGATAAAAATCCCCTAATCATTTGCCCCTTACAGGTGGCACGTGACTGGTCACGTGTCACCTGTGACAGGCGCCGCATGGTGACAGGCGACGGCCTGCTGCAGGTGTCACCTTGCAAATGGCCGAGAGATTTTCCCGCCCAAATTTTGAATTTGGAAGCGACCCTTCGCCTTCTCACTTTGCCTATATAAGGAAGTACTGACTTCGGTCATTTTTCACATTTGAGAACTTTGCGAGGGAACTTTCGGACCCCTGAACTTGCTCTGACACTTTGGACTTTTGTTGCCTACCGCCTGCTCTGACAAGCCGTTTGCAAAGGATTTCAGAATTTCATCAGTCGTCACTCGTTCAGGTAACCGTCGGTTCTCTTATTCTTAATTTTTTTCTTATTATTATTTTTTGAAATGGCACCATGGAAGCACACGACACGACCTAAGTTAGTGATCAGCCGGTCACCGGGGACGGCTGAATCTAGGACTAGGAGTGCCGCCTGCCCTTTTCTGGACCCATCTTTGCCCTTTAT